TACCAGTAGTAGCTGTAGCAGTAGTAACTGTAGCAGTAATTACTGTACCAGTAGTAGCTGTAGCAGTAGTAACTGTAGCAGTATTTACTGTACCAGTAGTAGCTGTAGCAGTAGTAACTGTAGCAGTAATTACTGTACCAGTAGTAGCTGTAGCAGTAGTAACAGTAGCACTAGTAGCTGTAGCAGCAGCAGAAGTCATATTCTGACTTACAGATCAGTGCTTTCGTCTGCTGCGGTCAAGAGACACCCCTCTTGTTTCCTTCCCAATACACAGGAACATAACCCTGAGAACTGTAGATCACGCACCTGAAAAGAGATCATACAGACAAGTAGCAAACGCATGATAAAACACAAGTGTTATTGTTGTAGTTCGATCTACAACAGGTGCGTATGGCGGTCTACGGCTTGTAATTTGGACGACAGCTACTGTAGACTGATTTTCGGCCAAGGATCAAAATGAGCAGGAAGGACTTGATTGGAGCATTTAATTGTGAGTCGAGGTCTGATCAGATTGCTAATTACATGGAACATGGATCATAGTAACTGGGATCTCATTCTATTGATTTTTCAAAAAAGCGTCAAATGTAATTTACCATCCCATGAACACGTGACAGACAGAGGAGAGATCAGCCGCTGTTGAGGAGCAGTAGGGTCCTGTGCTGTCCTGTCCACAGCCTCTCCTGCTGTGATCAGGGTCCGAGTGACTTTAACACGTCGTCTCTTTAACACGCTGGGCATTTACTGCGTATCTCCTGCAGTAAATGCCCAGCCATCTACATTGGAGAAACAGGAAGGAGACTCAGAGACCGCTTCAGAGAACACGTCAGGGCTGTGAAAATTAAAGATCTCTCCAAGCCCATTGTTTCTCATTTCACCTCTGACGGCCACGACCACTCTGATCTCTCCGTCTGTGTTCTCAAAGACGGTTTTCCGAACTCACACATCAGAAAGACCACCGAAACTAAAATTATTCTGCAGCTAGGATCATACATTCTCCCTTCCATTAACGACAGACTACTGTTCTTTTACATTTTCTCCATTCATTGGAAGTTTCATTTCACACCTCTCTGCACCCATTCTGACTTCACACCTCTTGATTGGCCTCTCTTTCTGCCCCCTGCTCCCGCCTCTCACTCATCCTCCCTCCCAACCTTTGCCTACTGCCCTGTCTCTCTCACACCTGAAGAAGGCTCCACGGCCGAAACGTTGTGTTCTCTTTCTTCTTTTTTTCAGCATGGAATAAACCTATTACTTGTCTCTTTGTCCGCTCTTGCAGGACAGACTCTTCGGGATGAAGTGGGTGTTCCTCCTGAGTCTTGCTGGGGTTGTGCAGGTGCTGTCTGCCCCAGCAGAGACAGGTAAGGCCACACCTGCAGGGTTTTAATTTTCGGTTGCTTGAACGTACTGTACGTCCCTTGGCCGTGCGCTGAATAAACTCCGAGCAGGGGCAATGGGCCCAGATCACCTCATGGGAAAAGGTAACCAAATGAAAAGGCTCGAGAAACGGGAGGCTTTCGTCAGCTGACTCACAGCGCTGGGGCCCCGGGTTCGATTCCTGGGATGCTGTCTGTGTGGAGTTTGCATGTTCTTCCTGCGTTCGTGTGGGTGTCCTCCCACTGTGGGAAGACAAACTGGTAGGCTAATTGGTTTCTGGGAGAAGTGGCCCTGGTGTAGGCATGTGTACTGGTGTGTGCCCTGCCTCGTGCCTGTTGCTTGCTGGTATCGACCCCGGGCCTCTGCTGGATAGGTGATTATGGAGAGTGGTTTGCGCTGTTACAGACTGGTTTGAACAGAGCACCTCCCTCTGCTGGGAGAGACGTAGGGTGCAGTTCACTCAGGTCCTGCTTGCCGATAATGATCTGTTCTCAGGCTGTGCAGAGGGAGAGTTCTGTCGCTGCCCCATCCACGGCTTCACCCACTGGCTCAGGATCGGGAATAAATGCTTCAGCTACCATGGGCACCCTGTGAATTTCTTCCAGGCTGAGGTAAGGCATCTCCACGAGAAGCAATGAAATCCAGCGCCTGGCTGATCGGATTGAATGGATCCGGATTGCCCCCAGGGGAATCCGTCTCACATCAGAGAGCGCACAAACATGCAACACCTACACCAATAACGCAACACACCAACGGTGCAATACCATGATACAAAGCAACATTCGCTCAGCCAGAACTCTACCAGGACCGTCAGGGTTAGGAAGCAGACAAAAAGCTCAGAACAAGTTTAAAAACAATGCTAAGATTAAACTGCAAACACTTTTCCATTTTCTATTGTTCAAGAATTGAATGATATCAGATGTATGGGCTCTCCTGGCCTTTTATTCAGGGGATCAGGTACAGAACCTCCCGAGTTCCAGTCTCACACTTCTGCCTCCCTGCTCCCTGGGCTGAACCGGACTCCCCCAGGCTTCCTCTCCCCGGCACCCCTGACCCCCAACTTCACTGTCACAGCTGTCTCCCTGGCTCATTCCTCCCAAGAGGGGAGTGTGAGATCTCTTCCTCTCCTGCGCCCCTCTCTCTGACAGAAGCTCATTCCTTTTATTCCTCTTTTCCAATATTCCTTTCTCTCTCTCCCTCTCACTACTGTTCTCCTGATAAATCGGGCTCTTTTTCTAACGTGCCAGAGGTGTCTTGGAGGGACACGCCTACGATCTGTGCAACCGGTGACAGAATGTGAGGTCTGGACTGTAAGAGCTACTGATTCTGGGGGGAGCACACAGACTCAGAGTCTCTCTTGGTTTTCGATCCTCAGGCCCAGTGCCGGAGATATTCATGCAAAGGCCACCTGGCCTCCATCCACAGCTGTTTCGAGAATCACCAGATCTACAGCCTCATCATTGCAAGGAACTACACGTACCCCAGGACCTGGATCGGGGGGCTACGCCACAACAGGGTGAGCAGATCTATCAATATATAGTATATGTATATTATTATATTATTCTTTTATATGCTAATAGATATTATTATATGGAACGAGTAAAGGTTTATTCCATGCCTAAAAGAGAAGGAAAGAAACACTGTGGACCCTTCTTCCGGTGTCATTAATAATCATCATTTTATTATATGATTTTATGATAATATTATGATATTATTATTTTGAAACTTATACTCTAATTGCCCTCAGGCCCTGTGGTGAGAGGGCTGGTGTTCAGAACAGGGGTGAATTTAAACACTAAAATTCCTGCCTGGGAGGCTTTCTGTAAGAAGGTTAAAGTCAGCACAGGTCAGATACAACAGGGAAGGTTCTGACTGGCAGTCCAGTTTGAGGTCCCTCAACTTTATGAGAGACTCAAAGAGCTTCCTTCCCCATTCCCAGCACCCAGATATCCACCTGACTCCCAGCTGTCGTTCTGCGCTGTACAGCAAGCTAAATGAGGCATCTCTGTGTGTTACTGCTGTAATAACACTGTTCATCACAGGAAGCCCGAACGAGAGCTGTAACAAACGCTTATATTTCAACGGAACCGCCAACAGACTGACAGGGTCACAGGGTTTACAGAAGAGCTGAAAGCTGAGAAAGTTGCTAACCAGTGGGCAAGTGGTGTGAGAATCCCTCACAAGCTGGGGGCACTTTTTATTATTACATCTGAGCAAATTTGCAGGCCGTTAAAATTCATGAAATACAGCTCAGGTACAGTATTTATGTTCTCCCACTAACGACCCTCAGTCTACCCTGTAGCTCCTCCAGCCTGTGTCCCTGTGTCTGGCTGTGTGTCTGTTATAATCAGCGCCACCCACCAGGTTAGAATCTCTCTCATGGCTGGCTCCTCCTCCCATGAGTCCCTGGGCCAAGCCAGTAAAGTCGGCACCTGTTCGTCTTGGCCAATTGGAATTTCAGGCGTCTTGAGAGTACTCATTGTGTTTCTACCAATGAACCCTTCATCCAACCTGTAGCTTCTCTAACCCGGGCCAGTGGCGCTGATTCAAGAAACGAGATTGCCGGGTTAACCAGGTATCTTTTGTCAACGCGCTGACAGAGGTCAGGAGTTTTGGGGTCTGCCACAAAGCAGGACAGAATTGTATCTGGTTAAGTTACTATAGCAACATATCTTCTACTCTTAACCTGCTCTGGGGCGGGTTACTTTGAACTTTGAGGGGAACAGCTCGACTCACAAACCAATCAGTCCCCCTGCAAATAACAGTGTCAGGGCAGCTGACTGAGCACAGTTATCGGGTTAAATCTTCCCGGATAACTTGAGGAAATCCCGAATTTTGTTGACCCTGATTTGAAAAACAGATCCCCCGGAGTTTTGCGCCCTGATCTGTCACACGCAACACAAGTTGTGTAGTGCAGGTTTTTCTATATAATCGGTTTAATACATGGTGTAATTTTTCCCTAACGCCTACAAATGACTTGCTGAATATTGTCATCACTTAAGCAGGAAAACGATTTTCTCCTGGGAAGTGTGCAGAAGACTCATGAGTGCTCACAGCTTCTTACAGGGAAATATCAGAGACGTTTGAAAAACACTTTTCTCTTTACTGCAGTGTAACGGTTTTCGATGGACAGATGGCAGCTGCTGGAACTACAATAACTGGTATCCTGGAGAGCCGAACAACCAATTTGGCCGTGAATACTGCACTGAAATAAATTTTGGTGGTAAGTGGGCCTATAGGGCGGTATGAACTGGTGTGAGTCTGTCTGTTTTTATCCTTCTCTGTCTCGGCAGGACAGGAAACTGGCCCTTCACACCTTGAGAGAGTCTCTTTCCCCATCTCTCACCCATGGGGGAGGACGGGGGCAGAGCTCGTGGTCTGAGGGAGAGCAGACTAAGTCTGAGCTGTCTGGTGAAAGGGCAGGGGGGGTGTTGGGGATAAAAGATCTGTTTCAGACAGGAGACTAGTCCCGCAGAAATGAAAACAGACTAAATGTCCAAGTGAGAAAACTGGAAAGTTAGTCTGCCACCTCCAGCCTCCCTTTGAAGATCCAGTTCTACCGTGATTTTGACAAGCGCTCTGCTCCTGATCTTCCTGTCTGAATGGCCGTCTCTCTTTGGGGTTGTGTGCCTGTCTGCGTGTTTGAAACCCTCACCCTGCTTCTGCCGTGCCTGTGGTGACACACGAGTGTAGCTGGGAAATGACTGAGGTCAGAGGTCGGGGGGGGGGCTTATCCTCGATGAAAGCTCGCCCCCCACGTCACGAAACACGACCTGCCCACAGCTGGTAACACCTGGGGGTCTGTGTGTAACGAACAGTTCTTCATGCAGGAAAAGGGTCTGGAGACAGGGGGCGTGTCCATACAGTGCAGGTGTCCAGGGGAAAAACCCATGTAGGAAATCCAAAAGAGTAATCCGAGACAGGGGATCCATCCAGGGAGTTAAAACACGAACCGGGTCGGAACCGGCGAGGGGAACCAGGAACTAGGAACAGAAAGTTCAAAGCATAACGGAGCCAGACGCAGCAAGACCCC